TGCCTATTCTTTGAATGACAGCCGACAAAGAAAGACACATTCTTGTTAGCTGGCCATTGCGGAAACAAATAAAGGCCCTTTCTTTTCCAAAGACAAAGTCATGTCATAACTGCAAAGTTGCATCACACACGATGTACTCACTATGCAAATCCAGAAAGATATTCATGAGATATAAATGAAGCGATGACGACATGCTTCTTTCAAAAAAGCTAATGATGGCGCTTGGCAGAAACGGGTCTCAAAAGTGAGTTGTTTCACGAAAAATATTGCTGAATCCTGGTTTATTTGGCATAGATGTCTATAATGGGATTCAAGTAAACATGTTACAGCCAGATTTCTAATTTTCTTTCACCGTTGAGGTTGCTCTTTAAGATATGTCAAGCATCGGTACTTGCTTCTGAGGACATTAAATGACAGTGTTGCATAAAAATGACCCCTTTGAAAAAACTTTTTCACTTTATCACGTGCAGCATGTGTGAGATTGGTTCCTGCTGTCGTACTGCACTGCTGAAAGATACACAGTAGACAGACTGCAAATCAGACTCCAGCAGAACATACATGTAAATCTGTGTAGAGTGAGCAACATGTACATGTAGGTCTACTAAACAGATATGTGCTAATAATATAGCTCTGGAACCCTGCTGTGTTCAGGCTTATACTTAACGACGGGGGGGGGGGCTGATTGCTTGCACATGCCAGTAATAAAACGTTGCAATGCTGCAGGTGTATACCAGTACTTGCACGAGCTTTTTTTCCGACTCAAACTCAATCAGTCCAAGTAATGAAAGTCCGTATTCTACAATTATGATGAAGTCCACCAGTTTCAGTCTTCTTCTGACTGTGTACATGTTTTTTATTCTTATGTGGCATTGAAAAAAAAAAGTTGATCATCACTACCCCACCCACGGCCACCAGTTTTTACTTTTTAATTATCTATTTTGTTTTTGCTATGTGTAACTAATTGATTGTTACACAGAATCAATAATTTGTTGTACAAAAAGAAAATATATATGGTAGCAAGTTTGCTGTACAGCATTTTGGAATGAAATCACGCACTGTTTAAATACATGTTTAAAGTGAATGCCAATTTTTCCTGCAGAAGTGGATATTTTTGTTATTTAACCACTTGCTGCCAGGGGTCCCGTTTTCAAGCACCTAGGCTTTATACACGAAGCCGGGAAGCCCGAAACTGGACAAAAGAGCTGGGCCTTGTAACAAAAGACCGTACTCTACACAAAAGATTGAGCTGCTGGGAATTGCCAACATTTTTTCAGTTGTCAGTATCGGAGGAAATCCGTCCTTGTTTTGAAAGATTATACCACTGTTTGTGGCATTCAGCGCAAGCGGATTACCACCGGGGACAAGAGCTCTTCAGCGCTCCAGTGATGAGTGATACAATACCACTGCACGCTAATCTGGCCCGTATCGAAAAGACACCAGCAGTGCACTGTACCAGTTTCGGGAACAAAAGAAACTTATATAACACCGCACAGTCTGGACTCTTTTTACAAGGCTGCAGGCCAGGCTGAAATACTCGAGTGTCAGTACATTTTGTCTGTCAGATTAGAGTAGCCACCAGACAGTAATTCGTGTGGGCGTAAATGTCCATTAAATGAAATGATGAATTTTTGAAGAATTTTGAAAACTGAAAATCTTGAAAATCGCCCGTTCGTCAGCACTGCATTTTTCAAACCCCTGGCAGGAAGTGGTTAAGAGGATGTTTTTCATTTTGCAGACTGTGACAGCAGAACAATTGTTAAGCTTCTTCCAACATGTTGGTGAAGTGAAATATGTACGCATGGCAGGTGATGAAACTCAACCGACTCGGTTTGCATTTGTGGAATTTACTGACACCGGCTCTGTGGCCAAGGCACTGGCGTACAATGGAGTCATGTTTGCAGGAAGACCACTTAAGTGAGTTTTGGCACTTTTTTGTATTTGATGTTTAACATTTGAATTCGGATATCAGAAATATGCATTATCTTTGTCTGAATTAAACTTTTTTCACATCATCCATCTGTCAATAAGGGATGGGATAAAAAACATTGACTGTTTGCATGCGTTCCCTGCCGTTCTACACACCTTCCCATTCTACACACCCTCCCATTCACCCCCCATTCCAAAAGGCACTTCGGAACGTGGTCCTATACCGTTCTTTGGCATGAGTCATTGAGAGGGTATTGTTATGTTAATTGTCCATTCCTTTGCGAGAATGGCATTGTCACAACAAAGATGCCAAGAACATACAAGCTGTTCCTGAGTTTGTTGTTAGCTTTAAAAGTGTGGACAGGGTTTGGTCCGATGAGATTTATTCCTCCCTCTAACGAACACATACTGACCCTTTTATGTTTCGACTGCTTACATTTTATACATTCTTGCTTAAAATGTTACCAAGGATGAATTATAAAGAAGCCTGCCTGGTCAAGTTTTACTGTTCAAGGACAAGTTAACATTTTGGCAAGCTGAATGGTGTATGGAATAAAAATATTAATGCGGTCAGCATGGCATCGAGTTGGACGGAAGTGCAAACCTTAAGAGGTGCACATTTCGAGAAATAACTAGAGATGTATACGTGAAAGGTTAATGTTTTTTGCAGCATGAATATATTCCACTGTTGGGGGTTGGGGAACCACATGGTCCAGGTTTGATGTGAGATGGGGGCATAATATTTTAGATGTGTTTACTAGGAATGAAAATAATGTTAAGACGACACGGAGGTTCAGTTTTTCAAAGGAAATGCTGAGATGAGAAGGAACAAGTCTTGGCATATTTGAAGCTCAGAAAAATAATGATCATACAGCGGGCATAGGATTAAATAAAAGGCCACATGTGGTCCAGAATTGGATATACTGAGATGGGAAGGAACTATATTTTTTAATGGTTTCAAGCTCTAAATAAATTTATGATTATTTGGTACGTGAAAAAAACAAAAAACAAAAATGATCCAGGTTTGCATGAAGATGAAATGCTGAGAGGGGAGGACCAATACTTTCGACTTTACTTAGAATAATGATTATTTGGCGAGGTACGGAAAAAAAGGTACCCCGTGTTTACTGGGTCTGGATACTGAATTTCTGTCCAGAATGGGAAAAAATACTTTTTGCAGATCAGATGTGTGATGTTGGCGGGGGGGGGGGAATAAAAACCACACCTGGTCTTGGATTGAATAGAAAAGAAATGCGTGGAGGGAAGAATTAATATTGTTTGCGGGTAGGGTGCTCGGAATAAAAAATGTGTGATGGAGTAGGAAAAAATGAAAAACCCTCATAGGCCTATTTTGGATAGCGAAAAGCTGAGGAGGAAAGAATAAATATTTTGGCGGGTTGGTTGCCCTGAATAAAAAAAAAAATGCAGTGGTGCAGGGAAAAATAAAAACCCTCATGGCCCAGGTTTGGATAAATGCTCAGGTGGGAAGGAAAAAACGTGTGGTACGTCTGAAGCTTGGAATAAAAATACTGATCTTGTGGTTGGGCAGGGAAAAAACCCACATTTGGTCGAAGTTCGGATGAAGATAAAATTCGGAAATGGGAAAGAACAATTTTTGGCAGGTTTGTACCGTAGCTTGGTGTAAAAAGAATGATTATCAGCGGTTGAGGAAAAGGCCCACATTTTCCGTGTGTGAATATTTTTGGTGCTTCTGAAGCTCAGAATAAAATACATTAATGATTATGCGGTGGGGTGGGGAAACTTAAAAGCCCACTAATGGCCCAGATTTAGTCAAGGTATTAATACTGAGATGAGAACAATAATCTTTGGTGTATTTGAAGCTTGGAATGATAGTAATTTTAATGGTGGCGTGAGGGAATTGAAGACATACATGTGGTCCAGGTTTGGGAACTACATTTTGGAAGGTTTGAAGTTTGGTATAGAAACAACAATTATTCGCATGAAAGCCCATACATGTGGTCCAGGTTTGGATAAAGATAAAATGTAGAGGCGGGAACAGACAATTTTTGGATTAAGGAATAAATATTGAGATGGGAAGGAACTGTGCTTTTGACTGATTTGAAGCTCGGAATGAAAATGACGATTTTTTATTTCATTAATTTTTATGCAAATGAGTGTTTCCATATTCATGAGCAAAACTCTGATGTCATCTCAAGAAGAAAATTTTCATATTGTTAGCCAATTTGAAGCTACTGCAAACTGCACATTGACTGGAAAGAGCTGAAATAAATCAATCAAAAAAAGTGCATCCTGACGTTTTGAACTTGGCAAGTTCTTCCTCTAAAAACTTTCCAAGTTTGAAATGCAGGGACGCACTATTTTTGATTGATTTTCATATTGTGAACATGTACATGTACTTATGACTGCACTGTGCAGATACATGTATTGAAATTAATGTGTCTGATTTTGTACAATAAAAAGTGACACATGAATTGTCTGTTGATTAATTATTCAAGTTTTCGACGATCTTGCTGGTAAGAAATCGAGCACACAACTATCAAGTAGATTTTTTTTTAATTAGTTTAAAAGTGCTTGAAACATTGCAAAGTATTTTGAAACAGGGTTTTTGCTTTTCCTTCTTTGGGGGCGAGGGATGGGTGAACGGTTCTCGTATATTTTGTAACTTGCCCTTCTTTTTTGTGCTTACTAAGGTATGAAACAGAATTTGAATTTTTAAAGTGGAATTCTGGATTTTGCGAAATGGAAAATCCCTGTTTAGCTCTAACTGTTCCTTGGTATTTCTGTTGGTACTGTGCAAGTTTTTCCATTTATATCGTTATGTTTATTGACTGCAGGATAAATCATTCCAATAATGCTATTGTCAAGCCACCTGCTAAGACAGCAGAGGTAACTCAGAGAGAGCTGGCCGAAACGATGAAGCAGGTACGAGATGCCCAAGCACTCATTCAGAAAGCCATTGAACCAGGTATGGAATTTACCCCATATATATGAAGTTGGAACTTGTGTGTTAATATGTAGGGATTCTGCTTTACCATAAAAGGCAGAACAGAGACTTTCATGACCTCAGTAGTCATTCTCCAATTCACTTGTGTGTTTAGTCCAGGGGAAAGTGTTAGGGAGACAGTAGAGAATGAAGTGCTGTGTGTGGCAGTGTGTGTTAGGGCAGCTTGTACCTGTAATAAAATTTGTTTTATGGATTGGAAAGGAAGTGAAAGCAAAATGCAAAACGCTAATGCAGGTCAATTCCTCTTAAATTTCCTTGTACATCTGGTGAATTGAGTTGCTAAACATAACATGATTGGTATCAGACAACCTGCTCCGGTACTTTACAAAACAAGTGTGCTACTTGTTTATTATTATGGCAACATGTGATATACATGTATTGTAATTGCCTTGAACAAAATTTTTCTTCCAAAGTGCTTCTTAAAGGTAGAAATTAATTTTTATGTCCTGCCATTGTATGAGAATCTGTTCAGTGAGAGAAGAAAACCTGATGTGAAAACAACTATTTCTCTCTATTGGAGACTTGAAAGTCTTAGTTACAGCAAACATAAGCTTCCTTTTCCATCATTGGTGTAATAAGCAATTGTGCACATGTTGAAAATGACAAAAGCAACAGTAAAGCAGCTTTCTCTGTGCTGTCACCAAGCCTTTCAGTAGTCTCTCATACTGATTCCAATAAGACATCCTAACCTTCATAAATAGCAGGTGGTTCAAGTGGCCCATGTACATGGCATTGACTTTGAAGTTGCTTGGTTTGAAACAGTTCATAGAAAGGTATTAATAATTACCGAAAAGGGGTCACTTGGGAGACATTCCCATAGTTACACATGCACAAAAGTTTTCAAACTTTACCGTCCCATAATTCAATATTCCCTAATCCGATCTTAAGCAAACTTTGCATGTTTTCCTTTCGGACCCTAATCTATCATCTCTCAAAATGTGGACAATTAAAATGTTCCTCCTTTTGGTAGTTGGAGCATTAGGGAGACATTGAAATGTCTCCCTAATGACTGATGTCTCCCTAATGTTGAAAATTTACCATAAAATGTCTTCCAAGTGACCTATTTGGAAATATAATACTTACTGCAAAATTGTTATTGCAGGAGGGTCATTCCGTGTAAATTCAACGTGCTTTTGGACCCAACTGTCTCATATTTAAACAAAATTTGGTGTGCTGATGGGATTCCTTGAGACTGCCCAACCGAAAATTGTCAATCAGTCAATTAGTTTGTGAGATTTGAGTTAACAAACGTTTGACTTAATAAGCTTGACTTGCTTTGTTTGGATAGCCATACCAGTCAACTACATGTATTTACTTCCCTGAAGAACACGGTTTCACTTGGAAACTAAAACTTTGAATGTAGGTGCAAAAAAGAAAAAAATAAGAGATAGCAAATTATGACAACCATCGTGTGCGAGGAGTGTCTTCCTACTTCACTGTCGAATAAAGGAGACAAAACTTAATAGAGCCAAGCGTGATAAACCACGTCAGTTTGGGGTCAGTAGCGAAAACGAGAACAAAGCAAAAATGAGTGAAATACAAAAAAACGGTTTTAAAAAATCTTAAGCGTAAAATAGATGGAAAATATTTGACAAGGACTCTGAGGTAATCCCTCTCACCTCCTCAAGAAGGCTCTTGGACACTGGCCACTACTGCATATCATTGTTTTATCAAATGCAGTGTTTATGGCTGTGATTAGCTAAACCCTGAAAGAGGCAGGAGGAGTTGGAATCCTCCTACCCCCCTTGACGTTTTTCTCAAATCATAGCTGTGCCTTTTTTTCTGCACTGAGCCTCACACAGTTTTAAGTTACTCCATTTGGTTATTTTTACACCAATTTTGTGAAAATCAAATGTACCGTTTTTCCATGACAGGTCAGTCAAAAACGTATGCTTTTCCACTGATGTTCTCAATGTATTTGGGCTGACATGAGTGAGGCTTTGAACTTCAGATGGCCATAACAAGAAAAGCTTTTTGTCAGATTGAATTGAAACTTCACTACTGTACTGATGAGTACATGTATTTCTACATGCACGCAAAGTTCTTAAGAAGAGTTTACATGGGCATGGGACAGCTGAGTGTGGGGGGGGGCATAGTCCAAAATAACTTGGCTCTTTAGGGTTGAATGCTGTGGCCCATTGTCAGCTTTGGTAATTGAGGGGTAAGAGGAATTACCTCATGTGTCAGGCTTTGAGTAATACTTTGCACAACCAGGGTAACAAGTTTTTATCTATGTATGTATATGTCATTGTATGCATACATGGTATTATACAATATACATGTACATTACATGTTACAATGCATGTGCAATTATACATGTACATTTTTAGTTTTCGCGAAGGTTCAAATAAACATAACCTGGAAACTGTAAGAGTGCCCATTCTAAAATTTCCTTGAAATGTTGGTTATATTTTAAGCCAACAATAAAAGTTTATTCATTTTGGAAAATACACATTTTACATATCAAGGCCACAGGTCATAAACTTGCATAACTTGTCTATTTAGATAAGTTTCATTTAATTTTAGAAATGAGGGTAATTTTAAGAGCTTCAAAATGATGTAAATTTCATCTCTGTGGGTGCTTTACTTTGGGAGATATATAGCTGTTTAAACAAAGCAGATCAAGTTAATTTCAAAATTTGTTGACTGATGTCTGAAAACTATCTGACCAAATAACATAGGTTTGGGTTCTGGGGGTTTCTCAAGGAATCCAACCAGTACATTGAAGTTTTTTTCATTCCGTGATGGTTAGGTCCAAAAGTGTGTTGAATGGCCATGGAATGACCCAGCAAAGCAATCACTACATGTGCAAATCTCTTTGTTTCAACAGAGGATTTGGAGAAGGAAATAGAAAAAGATGATAAAAAGAAACGCAGCAAATCACGTTCTCGCAGCCGTCATCACTCGCGGTCTCGGTCACGTTCCCGCCGTCGACGCTCACGCTCACCAAGGCGTTCCAGGCGATCCCGTTCTCGTGGCCGTCGTTCTCGTTCTCGTACCCCTCGGAGACGCTCTCGCACACCCCAGAGAAGAAGATCACCCCGAAGATCTCCTAGAAGGTCCCCCCCTCGTCGAAGATCACGATCTCGCACTCCACGACGTAGAAAGAGTAGAGAACGATCACGCAGCAGAGATAGGCGGTCAAGATCAAGGTGCCATTTATTACTTAATTGTATTGCCCTTTATCAGAAACATTTTTGGCATTAAAATTGTCTTGATACCAGAACTTAAAATAATATGTTGGAGCATCAACTTTCATGCACATGGGTAGATACATCTCTAGTGTAGGCTTTTAGCATTTTCTGAGACTTTTTCTTACTTGTAAATTTTACTTCACATGTACACCTTTGTGCTGATGATACAGAGACCGCCGTCATCGCTCTAGAACTCCACCTCGGAGCTATCGTGCATCAAGGTCTTCACGTAGCCGAAGCAGGTGAGTGCTTTTAAAATGTACTTAAAATTCATTTGACAAGCCCAGTTAACCAGCGTACAATAGATGCACTTGCCTGCCTGCTAACCTCATCAAAATTTATATTGTTCACATTGTTGTCATTAGCCCTCCTGTGCAAAGACGCATTCTGGATATTTTTATTTCTGCGTCTTTACTTTTCAGAACCTAGTCACATGTAGACAATTGTGACAATTGTGATGAACAAGTATCACATTTAACCCCAATAGTCCTCAGTCCTCCAACAGGTGAAGGATTGAGGACTGTTAGGGTTAATTGTTAGCAGAGGGAATTTCAAGTGGTGGTTTTTCCTTAAACTTGACAGAAGTCCAGCTGCTCCATCCCGTTCAAGGCGCCGCACCAAGTCTCCATCCCGATCACGTTCAAAATCTGCATCTAAATCACCATCACGGTCAAGGTCGGGCTCCCCAAGAAGAAGCAAGTAAGTACATGCACTGTGGTTGCTGTCATCAAAATATGTTAAAAATCCTGTTGTCTACAGCATTCATGTTACCCAAATAGCATCTACCTACAGCATGCATATTTTCGTAGTACCATTCTAAAGATCAACTCTAGTGTGCCATTTTATCTCCCACAATAACTAGTGGAGCTGCAACCATTAGACCTGACCTCAGAAATACTTTGCAAACCATTTGCGAAGGTTATAAACATCTGGCTGGTGCTAGTTCAGGAATTTTACAGAGCTACTCATCCATACAAGGTCAAGTTAAAGAGGTAGTCATGAATCCTGCGCCTTTATAATACATGTATTAATGATCATATTATAATGAATATTGATCATATAACAATGTTGATTTTGTTAGATATAGAGTACTCAGAATGTACACTGGACATTTGGACATTCTAACAGGTTTTTGAAATTAGTGCAAGAGCTAGCAAGTAGAAAATGTAACTGAAGGAAACACTATGGAAGAAAAAATACATAAAAACAAGGATATATTGAAAAAATGAAATTTTTTAAATTGATTTTCACCAAAGTTAAATGAATTGTTTGGATTACTTTGTTACGAAAATACTTGAACCCCATCTCCCGTATTACGCTAATCATGGTTGAAGTAAACATGAACAGAAACATTCTTTAATCAAGATATGTTCACTGTCAGTGACGCCAGTCCTGATTGGTCACTCGAACTTCCATGCAGCCTCGCATTTTGAAGCCAACTGAACCACCAAATTAGTCTCTTTGATAAAAGCCTTCTTGTTTAAAAAAAAAGCATCTTTTGGAAATAAGGTCATTCAAACAAACTTGACTATCTTTCAAGAATTGAACTCTGTGAATGATGTAGTTGAAATAAACAAATCCTCTCTTATTCACTCAGAAACTCACTAAACTTATGTCTTATAAAAAGTCTGTGTAGGTATACAAATACCAATATCAAATAGCATTTTTTAAACAGCAGTTTTTGTTACTAATGTTGTTTTATACAGTCAGCCCTAAAATAACTTCATTAGAAATAAAAGCAAGAATATAATTTGTAAATGAAATAGCTGTTGTATATAACTAAGGGATTTTCCTGTAGAACACTGTGCTAAGCATTCAGCCAATCACGCTATTAATCAATGGTAAAAATTGATTGTCGTGTGCCTCGTGAGTACAGAGAACCTCTGTCTTCCGCTTTTCTGCAACATTGATTTGCCGAAAATGAGGTGGTTGTTCCGTTGGCAGGTCCAACACAAATCTGACATAGGCTTGCAGATCACATTGTAGGGCAAAAGCTCACGCCACAACTTACTAAAAGTGGAAATGCCAACTATTCGGTCGTTGGGTGTGGAGGCTTTCCTGTAGCAATGCCACACAGATGCCTTCGTTTCTGAGATAGGCAACACTTTGATGTCATCTCTTTTGAAGCCAGGAATTCTTCCTGAAAGAATGATGCTGTGCTGTTCAGTGAAATTTAGGATGAACCTGGAAACCCTCTGAATGTCGGTGATGCTCAAAGACATTTGACGGCGACCGCCGCACAAATTAATTTCAACAGACTTTGCAAGATTTGTAGGTGTGTGTAAACTCCCATAATGTGCCTACATGTGTACATTTTCGGTTTTCAATCATGCAAATTAGATAAATTTAAAATGTCTGATTTCTTCTTACATGGGCAGATTCCATGAGTCAGGTACCATCTTTTCAGATTGGTGAGTTTGTCCCGTGATATGGTCATCAGATGCAGGAAGGTGTCCCGGCAGATCCTTCTGTGCTTGTAGCTGAAGTAATGAATCCTGGACAACTGGCGTTCTCAGTTAACCCGTTTTGATTTCTACGTTGTTGGTGATTGCACATATGATGCCTAACAAAAATAGGTCTTTCTTGTAGCTTTTCATCTCGAGTACATTCAAACTGAAATATAAAACGATACTTATTATTTTGACAGGTCGGCTAATAATAAATACTTTTCATAGTTAATCATAATGCAACGAGGCATTCTAAATAGACCTGTGCGCTTTTCTATGGCGCTTGGATTTTATCATTCCCCATCAATCGCTGGTCCCTGCTATATGAAAGCGAACTTGTAAACAAAGCATGACATCATAGAACGGACATCTAGGAAGTTAAACACACCCAGACCTTGACTCACTAATATACTCTATTCAATACAAATGGGTGAATACAATTTGTTCACTTGCACTTTGTATGTGACCCAGAGCTGTGACGTACATGTAGTACCACCCTCGCCTGTAAAAATTGACCATCACCGACTGGACTTCAGCAGGCTTGCTACATTCCTGTCATTGACCCAACACAATTGAAGGAACAAATCATGCTCAGCAAGGCCTACCATAGCTACTGTACTAAGCACAAAAGTAAACTTCATTTTTCTTCTTGAATGTTTTTTTTTTCCCTTTTTTTTCTATTGTTGACCCCACAATTTTATACACCAAATTATAGTTAAGAATTGTAGTCAACATTACCTGATACTATCAGTCTCCTCTTCAGTGAATTGCTGAATGCAGGGATTCCCATTATCCAGCTTACACCTGCAATGAATTGGTTTTGCGGGCATTTTGATGTGGTCAGACATCCCTGCTGCTTTGTCTAAGGCTGCGTCTTCAGCAAGTAGTGTGGGGTCACCTTCTGGTACATCAGTCTGGCTATCATCATCACTGCTATTGTTACTTAAAGCAAGGCTCATCTGTTAAGCAAAGTTACAGAAAATAACTGACCAATAACTATCATGAATATAGGCTTCATTAGGGATTAAAAGCAAAATAAAGTTAAAGGTTAATAAGAGACAAAAGCTTTTAGTGTATTTTAAATGTTTTCTTGTGTTGTCGTTTGTTGTCATGTGCCCATCTGCATTCTTTTTCGATAAACTTACAAAAGAATAGCATGGCACTAGGAAATTACCTCAAACTTGTAACCTTGTGTAAGCATGTTAAAACTACATAAATATAAAATCACATAGTCTCATAAGTTAACGTTTGATAAAGTAGGGTAGACTCATTGAAAGTTTTTTAATCCAATAGGCTATGAGCTCAGTAACAAATAAAATTTCAGACACTTGACTAGTAACATGACCAAGCTTGCTTTGAAGGGGAAAGAAAGATATGTAACACCGCACAATCTGGGCTCTTTTTACAAGGCTGAAGGCTGAAATACTCGGGCATCAATAAATTTTGTCCGTCAGATTAGAGTAGCCACCAGACAGTCATTCGTGTAGGTGTAAACGTCCATTTTTGAAATGACAAATTTTTGAAAAATTTTGAAAACTGAAAATCTGGAAAATGTCCTGTTTTCATGTATGTGCACTACATTTTTTAAACCACTCGACAGCAAGTGGTTAAAGCTTTTAGATCATCCTTGCCCTGTACAAGGGATTAGTTGGCACACGTGCAATAGTTGTGATCAAGATAGATTATCTAAATAACCATCAACAATTCTGAGAATTTTATATGCTACATTTGTAACCATGTGAATAAATAAATTGGCAAGGTTGTGATTTCTTGAAACATTCTGTCTATGTTACGGATATATTTTTGCCCTTAATGAAGTTTTATCAAGTTCAACTTTGGAAGAAAATATAATTTACAAATTGCTACACAGTGTTTGCCAAAAGCGTTAGCCTAAAATACAAACAAAATGACCAGGAGGGCCTGATGTTTCGATCCCAGCAGGGACTTTCTCAAGGGCAAAAAGTTCTATATGTACATGTACACTGTAACTGACAAAATGTGCTGCATGGCTGGCTAAAGGGCGGCCGGTAGGCACAATCACAATAAAGAATGTCTCAGGTTTCTGGTCACAGGTTGGTTCTGAAACTGTTGCGGCAACATGGTATTTTTTTCATTATTTTTTCTTGAAAATAATGTCCAGGTGCTTGGCATGTAGGCCTTAAAAAGAGCCACATTTTTACTTCGGAGATTGATCTTGCTGGGCCGATATATCACAAATTCATGCAGGCCTTTTTATATTAGCTGTTGTCTGGTTCCAAGATGAGAAGACCCCTGACAACCAGTACTACAATCAAAGGGAAATAGTCAGATCATCAAGTTTGGAAACCAGAATTTGATCATTGCCGCACCATACTTACACTGGAAAAATGCTCTACGTAATAAAATGTGCAACTATGCACTCAGAAAACGGCAGATTTTGGAGTCAGAATTCACCCTTTTGTACCATTCTGACAGAACGACAACATTTACCACTGGATTCCCCTTGCTTCAAACTGTACGTTAGCTAGTTTTTGTGTAGTTCTCAGGCGGGTGCCACGAAGACCATTTTTTGAGTGGGATTTTGGGGTGCATTTCATTGCCTATTCAGCAGGATTGGTCTTCATTCAAGTATCATCACGTAGGAGACATCGTCTTGATGAACTATGCTTGTCGGGAGTTTATACTAGTTATATTAATGAGAACAGTCTTGATCAACAATTTTTAGGGCAAGCAGATCTCTTCTTAATCTCAACAAGCCTATTGTTTTGCCTCCTCATTCAGATAACTTGGTTCTCGCTAATGATATGGGAGGGTTCTTTTGCCCATAAAATTACCAATATTCAGTCAAGATTAAGAAGTGAGGTGTGCTCGTGTAGTTCTGATCTTGCTACTTCTCCACCTTTTCCTGTTACTACACTTACTGAATAATTGTAAGTTGATTCTAGGTTCTGGTTCAAAATGTTGTGACCTTGTCTCATTCCTATGAAGTTGTTTGTTGAAATGTTGGATGTTGTATTGCTGGTTTTTACTTATATGATAAATACCTCCTTATCCACAGGTTACTTCCCTAAATTGTGGAAATCTGCCATAGTATTTCCGTTTTTGAAAAGCCTCATCTTGATCCAGTGATTGAGAATGATAAGTCTGTCAGCAATTTGAATTTATTTTGAAATTAGCAGAAAAGGCTGTTGCTAATCAACTTCATGCCCACTTGGATCAGCAGATTTTGTATCCCATTGCTTAGTCTGCATATTGTGAACATCACAGCTCTGAGGCAGCTGTGCTGAGGGTCAGAAATGATGTGCTAATGGCTATGGATAGACAGCATGTTTGACTGTTAGTTCTGCTCAATCTGTGTGCTGCCTTTGATACATTAGACTAAACATTCTGCTTAACACCATGCAATCCAGATGTGGAATTCATGGTACTGCTCATATTTATCTGGTAGATCTCAACAAGTGACGGGAACAGGAATCTTTTCCAATGCCTTGGCCCCTTGTTATTTATTCTGTACACCAGTCCATTGTTCGAGATTGTTAAAACCCACCTTCCTCAGGTTCATTGTTATGCTGATGATACTCGGCTATACATCTCATTTTGCCCAGATGTGAATCAAGGATCAGCTGTAGTGGCCATGGAAAATTGTGTTTATGGCTTACACAATTGAATATCTCAATGGTTTGTGGTTAAATAATAACAAGATTGAATTTCTTATCATTGGTACGCCTAAACAGCTGCCTACGGTCACTTTTGACCGTATGCAAGTTCGCGATTGTACAATCTCATCGGTCACTTTAGCTTGCAATTTAGGCTTATGGTTTGATAATCACTTGTCTATGCATAGGCAGGTCACTAAACTCTACAGTAGTGCTTTCTGTTTTTACACAATATTAGAAGTATCAGAAAGGAGTTGTCTACTTAGTATACTGAAACTCTGATTCATGCATTTATTTCTAGTCGTTTAGATTATTGCAACAGACTTCTTTATGGCTTGCCTGTTTGTCAAATTCACAAACTTCAACATGTTCAGAAAGCTTGTGCTTACACATTTTGTCTAATCACTCCGTCAATAGACCAATACATGTATTGGCTTCCAGCGAGATTAAAAATTACATTTAAAATACTGCATTTTACTTTTAGGGAGGGCAGTTATTAAATGGATTATGCCTCCCCTCCCAAACTCTTTCAAGCCCAAAAAAATGCAGCATTTAATATAAAAAAGAGAAAGATTTTGATTCTGCAGAATTTGAAAAAAAGACTGAATTTTGACGAAAGTTTTTTTGAAGTGTTTAGCTGTATAAATAACATGGGCAAAATATCAAAGTTTTTGAACATTTTCAAAGTTTTTAGGTCAGTGATTTACATGTACATGTACATTTAAACTTAATTATACAAAACCCAACAAGATTCTGCAAATTTTGAATGGCACCACGCAGGTTGGGTTAATTGGCTTGTTACAAATTCTGTACATGTTATGAACACTTTCAATCAGATCTAAATCTGCCTTTTTCTTTTCCCGATTTAAGTTCATGTTTTATTGTGTGTTTTAAGTCAACACAATTTATTCACATCTTCCTTGTCTTTGTCACTTAAGATTAAAAATCACTCAGTAGAGTTTTGCTTCAACCACCAGGCACAAGAAAGATAAGAAGAGTAGAGAGCGTGAAAGAAGTAGGGAACGTGACAGTCGCAGCAGTAGAAAACACAAGAAAGACAAAGATCGGGATCGGGAAAGAGAGCGCAAAAGAGACAGAAGTCGGGAAAGAGGACATGATCGTAGTCGAGACAAAGATCGTGGTGGGGAGCATAAGGACCGAGATAAAAAAGATACCAAAGTTAAACGAGATTATGATGAAGAAGAAAAAGGATATGACAGTGACAAGGCAAAGGGAACAACATCATCAAGTGGAGGTGAGGAGGATTCAGGAGGCATGAAGATTCAGGTAGTGATGGGTGAGGGGAGTCGTACAGGAACAGCATTGGATGTTGATACCAATGTCCAAGATATGGATATGGACATGGAATCTGACTAAGTGATACTTCCACTTTATGCCTGGATTTAGTATTTAGATGTTACTTGTGTAGTGGTATGCATGTACTTATACCTTCTGACAACAGTTTTTCGGTATTAAAAATCTGCTTTTTATCTTTTAAATAGCCAATTTTTGAAGAAATGTTCTTTGCGTCACTTTTGTAAGCACTATATGGTGATAATGTAGAGAGTAATAACTTATAAACATGTAGGTAGATTAGATGCTTATTTGATGTGCAAAGTGAGGCCTGCAGGGTGCTTCCTTGCTGAACACACAAACCTATAGGAAAACGCAATATTTTGTGCAGCTTGGATGCGTCGCATCATCAAAACCAATCAGTACTTGTATAGAGGTTTTTCACTTGATGTAACCTGACAGTTAAAGGCGTTGCAGGAAGCATACCATGTTTATGGAGGTGCATGTATTTTTGAATCTCTGTATTTCTATTACCAGTTTCATGTACGCCAGAATGTTGAAAGACTAAAAAGGTGCACACGTTTCCGTGCACATTATGTAAATTGAATGCTCACCGTCAAAAATCATGTGACTGAAAACCTCTATATGAACTTTTTTTTCACCTCTGTAAAGAACTTCAACATGTGTGCATACAAAGTAGGTGCAACATATAAATTTTGCTTATGCTTTTTAATGATAGAAAAATGCACTTATGAGTTTTCTAAAAATTTTGTTCTTGCATTTTGCAGCTACAGTACAGCTCAAAAGTTTCTCTGAAAACTCGCAAGGGGCCTCATTGAACTCGCAAGGGCCCTCAGTAAACACTCGCGAGTTTGCAAGCAATAAATGAGTGAAGTTCGAGACGAGTACACGTGTACTACCCGCAAGGGCAATCCCTTGCCTCGTAACTCGCTCATGAGGAGTAGATTTGTCACTCATTATTTTGCGAGGACCCTCGTACTTGTTAAGAAATTCCCTCGCTCGTACACACTCATTGCTCGCAAGTGTCAGGAGAAACTTTTGGGCTGTACTATACATCTCTTCTCAAAAGTCGTACATCATTACGTTCTGCAAATTTTAATGTGAATTTCAAAAATATCTTTGATCAGGATGGTGCCAAACTTTTTCCACTCCGGGAATGGAGAGTTTGTTCTCTCATAATTTAAAAATGGCTCTGTGGCCAAGGCTGAATAAATTGACTTCTTTCATTTGAGGCAGCAGAAGTTAGGTGATGCCTCCAGGAGTTTCAGCCAACTCACTGGATGTTGGCAAGGGCAAGGTTCAAGGTGACCCACTCCTTAGGGGCAAGTTTGATTCAGGTGGGCATAAAAAATTTCTCTAAAGAACTGAAATGGCTCTCTATATGTGATTGGACCTTACGATGGTTTTGTCCTAAAGTTAATACACAGGTTTGGATTCCTTATCCAAAGGCCCAAGGGTCACCACTTTTTCCAGTCTTAGTTACTGTGCGAGGTATGTTTCGCCTTGGGTGTTATCTATCCCTCAGGTTTTCAAAATGTCATATCCCATGTCGCAGCGGTCAACAATTATTAAATGGTGTGCATATTTGTCCCACATACTACAAGGTACATGTACATGTAGGTGGGACACAGATGCACTACACTGATGTGTCTGTATTGCACTAATGCGTTTGTGGGACACAGACACATCAATAAACTTGATGCACATGGTGGGAGTACATATGTATATCCTCATTTAAACATGTGACAATCAGCATGGGATGCAAACATGTCACTTTTGAATTTATTTTAAATTCTACAGCTGTACATTTGGAGTAAGTATAAAATAGCATAATGCATGGGTATAGAACAATACTTACCTTCATACGAGAGGTGTGATGGACCATGCAGTAGAGTATGTCACATACTGTTTGTTGAAGTGGTGCAGCTAATCAGAATTGAGGATTTCAAGTTTGCTTGAACATAAGCACTGTTCTTGTTACACTCCAGTTCTGGGTGCATTTTACTCACTTTTTGTCATGCTTTTAAGATGGGAAGGTTCGCTTACTGTGTAAATACTGTGTATGACACTGTGGTCTTTGTGACACAGTTGCTATAAAACTTGCTACACTGCATAAAACAATGTTTTTGGTGGAAATTAAATTAGTTGCAGCATGGAGAGAAGCAATAATTGTGCAGTATGTAGTAAGCACAGCCACCGACTCTGTAATTCAACTTTTTTGGTGACATTTAATTAAAGCTCTATAATTCAACGATTACTGGTATGTGTAATACCTTGTGACTTCAAGATTTATTCAAACCCAAGAGGAAAATACAAATTTGATCTGTTCTAGAAAGGGGATAGGCATTGGGCATTATTTGATGCTTGGATGCAGTGTGCACAAACATGTCCATATATTTTATGTTCATGTAGATATAGGTCATGGTATAAATAAAGGGGTCCACGTGGGGACACAGGCCAGAAAATGAGAACTATTATCTGCCTCTTGTAGTGAGCTGATTTATGCTTTATACCACATAAAGGTTACACATATAACAGAGTAGTGTATACTGTAGCAGGGGTGAAACATTTGAGGAACAATGTTTTGCTAGGACTAGCTTTCACTGTTACAAATCCAAGAGACACAATGGCATGCACCACCATACACAACCATTAATGAAGTAAAATGGCTTGATTCTTAATAGACTCTCCCTTTTCGATTACTGCAGAATATGATGTCTCCAAATATAAGGTATTTGGTTAAAAGTATGATGGTTTGAACTGAATTTTTTTCTGGTTTTTCATGCCATAAACTGGTTCATGAAAAGTTGCTGGTTGACACTATACTGCTGCCGGTTTGAAGAGGTGTTACTACAAAATTTGCTGTAACTCATTTATAAATGGAGAACAAATTATTCTTTAAACATGGTACACCATACATATGAGAACCAAGCACAGTTAAAATCTAGTTATTTTTGCCCCACTTTTTTCTCAAAATGACAGGTTTACAGCTAAATGCCGTTTGTCCAAAAAAGAAAAAGATAAGCTTATAACTTTTTTCCTAAAAGTAATGACTATCTTTAATCATCTCACAATAATAAACTTAAGTGCACAGTTTACTAAACAATTCAAAATTTACTATTGTGGGTGTTGTCCCACTGGACCCATGTAGAACAACCCATTTACATGTACATGTGTAGTAGTACATGTAGTATCTACAGTTCAGTTTGCATGTACATATGTACTTCAAATTTCAGCCCATGTAACATTTAATACAGTATTGCCTAAAATCATTTCTTAAATTTTGTTTTTAATTCAACTAGCTCCTCTTTGGCTTTATGTATGTTGCAGATTATGCGCCTTATGTAATATTTAAGAAATGAGAATATGAAACTAAAATGTGTGATTTCCTAGGTTTGCATGTTGCATTTTCTAAAAGCAGTGTTTGCTCTGTTAACAGGCCGTTTAATCACATTTCAATATTGAACTGTTTTAAAAGTTTGTAGTAAACATTAAAAGTTAAAGTTGTAGCTTTCTTTCGTTTCTCTTTTATGTTGTATTCAGATGTATCTTTGATCAGGTAAAATACATTCATGTAGGCAGTCATGTAGGAATTCTGAACAGTAATGTTTTAAGAGTACATTATAATTGGCACAGGCATTGATTAGCATTGTTCAAAATTTCTTGGGTTTACAGAATGGAAAAAACAATGACTTAATCCTTAAAATCACAATTATAAACAGTGGCACTCAGATTCTTTGGGTAATTTATCAGATTTTACCTGCAGTTGTGAGTAGTGATGAGCAACTTCTATTGACTGCAAAACAAAACCTCAAACCCTTCACAAACTTGGCCTTATTCAGTGGTGGTGAGACGAACTGTAATCCCAATGGAAGTGTTCATTTATATGCCATTCATACATACCGGTACCTGAAATTTACAAATACCCAATCCTATATGGTCAAGAGCCCATCATGTGAGTGGTTCTCGACGGATGATAAAATTTTGACTCATTTTATGGACTCAAACCTGCATCATCATTCTGGTGATTCCTCATTTCATACATGTACAGTAGTAATTTCACTCTACGCCAGCTCATATTGTGCAGCACCCACTGCACACGCTAACTTCCATTTTAGATTTTGACTGCACAAGAGATACCTACCATAGATTTTGCTGGAAGAGTGCTTTGAAGAGTGCACCTTTAATGTCACATGATTTACCCCTTCGTGATGTCATCATCACATCAGGTCCGTTTTCATCAGCGCCCTCCCTTTTCAAGATATGTGCAAGGTTCAATCCCAATTGGACATGTACTTCACGAGATGTAGTGCTTTGAAGAGTGCACCATTTTGGGCACCCCGGCTCTGCGTATCAAGCCTGTGTGCTCGAAAATGGGTCTCCCGGCAGCAAGTGGTTAAGGACGTGTACAAAACAGAAGGTTATTTGGGTCATCAGAGGAAGAAACTAGAGGTTTTGTCTGTCTTAAGGACAGAGCAAAGAGTTTTTTTATGAAGCTAAAAGCATGTGTTCATTTGAGATTCTAGCACATTTCCATTTCTCACTTTTTGCTCAAAGATCAACCCCAGAGCTACAAATATTGACAACCAATAATTCTAGTATTTTCTTTGGTGACGTCATAATGACAAAGTGCGCAAAGACTTTGGGACAGTAGAAATGGACAATAAAGTCTGCACCTTTAACATCACTTTCATTTGTCTGAACTCTTCCGTTTCTCGCTACCTACCAAATTTCTACCCAATCAGACATGTACACTATACATCACAAGATATAGGGGTCTAAAGAATGTACATTTAATGTCACATGATTTCTCACTGGATGATGTCATATTTCTATGGGGTCAATATTTGCGTAAGTCACTTTCCTTTCAAGATGTAAGCAAAGTTTGAACACAATACGACATACAATTATGGAGATATAGTGCTTTGTACATTACATCTTTGATATCAGGTGACCTACATGTACATGTACTACCTGATGGCGTCATCATCACATCAGGTCAATATCCCTCTTAATCACTTCCTTTTCAAGATCTCAGCAATGTTTGGACCCAATTGGACATGCAATTAAGGAGATAGAGTCCCTCAAAGAGTGCACCTTTTATGTCATGTGACTCGTCACCTGATGACATCAACACCAGACCAGGTCATTTCTGGTCTAAAACCCCCTCCCTTTCCAGCTGTACTCAGTTTCAAACCAATTGGACAAGTACTTCAAGAAATACAGTGCTTTGAAGAGTGCAAATTTAATGTCACGTGACCTGTCACATGATGTCATCACAAGAGGTCAATGTTCGTCTGGAGCCCTCCCCTTTCAAGATATCTGCAAAGTTTGAACCAATGGGTCATGTATGACATGACACCATATTCCATATACATGTGTACCATTTATACAAAACGTACAAAACATGGGATTTGGGTCAGAAGAAAAAAAAGAAGTAATGTCTTTTCCTCAATTTTGTCTGTCTTACAGACTTTTTCGTATTTTCTTTTATATTAGAAAAAAAATCGTCCATTTGAGATACTGACATTCCCATTTCTCACTTTTTGCTCAAAGATGTACCTCTGTCAAAGCTACAAATATTTACACAAAATATTACCAGTATTTTCTTAAGTGATGTCATGACGAAATGCAGAAACCCTGTCGGACATTAGAAGATATGGAGGATATGGATATGGAAGTGTGCACCTTTAATATCACTTGACATCGTCTGAGCATTTCTCGCTACCCAATTTCAACCCAATGGGACATGTACATCACAAGATATAGGGTTCTAAACATTGTACATGTACTTTTAATGTCACGTTATTTCTTTAGTGATGATGTCATCTTCACTTGAGGTCAATGTTTGTCTAAAGCCCTCCCCGTTCAATATGTCTGCAAGGTTTGAACCCAATCAGACACGTGCTTCACGAGATACAGTGCTTTAAAGAGTGCACCTTAAGGTCACCTGACTTGTCACATGATGACATCATCATCAATGAAGTCAGTGTTCATGTAATGGCTTCCCTTTCAAGATATCTGCAGGGTTTGAATTCAGTCAGACATGAACTTGACGAGATACAGTACTTTGAAGAGTGCAGCTTTAATGTCATGATAATGTCATCAAGACATCAGGTGAACGCTCATTGAAGGCACTCCCCTTTCAAGATATCTGCAAGGTTTGAATTCAGTTGGACATGTACTTCACGATCTTTAGTGCTTTAAAGAGTGCACCTTTAATGTCACCTGATATGTCACATGGTGAAGTCATCATCACATCAGGTCAATCTTCGTGTAAAGCCCTTTCAAGATATATGCAAGGTTTGAATTCAGTTGGACAAGTACTTCATGAGATAAAGTGCTTTGAAGAGTGCACCTTTAATGTCACGTGACTGGTCACCTGATGATGTCATTATCATATAAGCTCAATTTTTGTCTATGGTGCTTCCCTTAATTAATACCCGCAAGGTTTCAACCAAATCGGACATGTTCTTCAGGAGATATAAGGCTTTGAAGTTTGCACCTTTAAGTCATGGGACTTAAAAGAGTACACACCTAATACATAGATCGAGAAAATTGCCGAAGACTGGCTGTGAAACAAAAAAACATATTCAAAACCTGTAGGGAATATAAAATATTAATCAATTAAAAAATCAGAAGGTGACGTCATCACGACGTCATCAAATTGGCATGTTTTTGGTATCAGGGTTTTTGTTGGCTGTAACTTTGATGACAATTGAAGATCACCAAGTTACCAAATGATGGCTTGAAAACATGCAAAGTCAATGGGTTAAAAATCCCAGTGCAGAAAACTGCACATTTAAATTCAAGGTACCTGATTTGCATTTAAACTGAAAAATAAATACTACTTGATATTCTGACTCTTAGGCATATTTCAAATAACAGAGCGTAAAACATACGATTTCTCTTTTCTTCTCGTAATCTTCAGCCCGAGTTCAGGAGTACTCACTCATCAAAATTAATAGTGTGTAGTAAAAAACGTGTACAAAACCTATGGAGAAATACTGCAGCTGTAATCTCACGTCACGTGACCCCTGATGATGTCATTATGATGATTTTGTTGTGGAACCCTCACATGGTGGACTATGAGTGTACACCTATATGAAATCAATTAGAGTGACCAGAGTCCCAATGTCTGGCTGTTATAAAATGTGTACAAAACCTATGGGGGAAAATTAAATATTAAAAAAAAAAATCACATGATGGCATCATCATGACATCATAAATTTGGACTTATTTCTGTATCAGGGTCTTTGTTGGCTGTAACGGGTTACAATTGAAGTTCTCCAAATGACCAAAATAGTGTCATGAAAATGTGTACAAAGTCGATGGGCTGAAATAAATATTTGAAAATCAGTAATAAATAACTTGATGACGTCATCATGACATTGTTCTAACACATCTTCACACAAGGGTCCTTCATTGCTGTAAGTTTGATGAAAACCCGAAGTTGCTAAGGGACTAAAGTCGGTGGTATAAGAAATGTGTACAAAATAAAGGGATTTGGGATTTGCAAAAGAAGATGAAGAAGAAACTTGAGGTTGTCTGTCTGTTTGCCAACAGAACAGAGGGCTTTTCCGCATTCCTTTTGTTGGAACAACAAATCTACTGCACAAACCTGAGGGCATAATTCTTTAATCATGACCATTTGGATCCAAGATTTCAACCTAATCAGGCATGTACTTCAAGAAACAACATGCTTTAAAGAGTGCATTTACATTTTGTACATATGCATGTGAATTTTTAAGCTCATATGACGTCACCTGGTGACATCATCAGATGAGGTCAATATTCGTCTAAATCACTTCCCTTTCAAGATATCTGCCAGGTTTGCACCCAATTGGACATATGATTCAGGAGATATACACTTATTTGCAAAAGTTTAGGACCACCCATAGAAAATGCATTAACCTGAAGGAAAACTAAACTTAAACCAATCAATCATGGCAACTTACGCTTGTTTTCAATGTCTAACCTTGGTTGAACATTTTTTACTATATTTCCATGATTTGACATGTTAACAGTCTAATATTCTGAGTACCCTTCCTTATTTCTGATTGCATATGTGGAAGGGAGATTTGAAGTCCGACAGCATATAGACAAGCTGAAGGCATCGGGAGTGATACAGCCGAGTCAGAGCCCTTATGCATCCCCCATCGTAATCGTACGAAAGAAGGACGGTAAAATCAGGCTCTGTGTCGATTATCGCCAGCTGAACGCCAAGATGGTGCGGGATGCATTTCCACTGCCTCGTGTCGAAGATGCCTTAGACGCCCTTGGTAAAGCCAAATACTTCACAAGCCTGGATCCGACATCCGGGTACCTCCAAGTCAAGGTGGCTGAAAAGGATCGACCCAAGATGGCCTTCACATCCCCCATGGGCCTGTATAAGTTTACCCGAATGCCCTTTGGGCTGATGAACGCCCCGGCAACATTTCAAAGGCTGATGACCGCTGCCCTTGGGGACATGAATTTCGACTCCCTCCTTCTATACCTTGATGACATAATCATATTCAGCAGCACTGTAGATGAGCACTAGGAGAGGCTTGCAAAGGTTTTTGAGAGGCTGCGTGAGCATGGTTTGAAGCTTAAACCATCCAAATGCCATTTTTTCCAGTCACAAGTTTGCTATCTTGGCCATGTTGTGTCTGCAGATGGTATTGCCACCGACCCTGAAAAGACGTCTGCCGTCGTGGATTGGCCCAAGCCGAAGACCAAGAAGGATGTCTGTAGTTTCTTGGGGTTCACTGGCTACTATTGGCGTTTCATTCACAATTATGCTCGAATTGCGGGACCACTTTTTGCCCTGATAGGAGGCAGGCATGGAACGAAGGATCCACCATTCACCTGGAGTCAGGAGTGTCAGAAAGCTTTCAAACTACTGAAGCAGAAAATGACTTCAACCCCGGTCCTTGCCTATGCTGACTATTCCCTCCCATTCACTGTCCAGACGGATGCCTCGGCCGATGGGTGTGGGGCAGTTCTCACACAGGTGCAAGATGGACGAGAGCGGCCGATAGCATACGCCAGTCGCACCCTTACACCGTCAGAGGCCAAGTATCCTGCTCATAAGCTGGAGTTCCGAGCTCTTCATTGGGCAATAACGGTGAAGTTCCGCGATTACCTCTATGGTCAAGATGTCACTGCAGTCACCGACAACAACCCACTCACTTACATTCTCAAGACAGCCAGGCTAGATGCTCATGGTCAGCGATGGGTTAGCGATTTGTCTCAGTT